AACTTGGAACTTGCTCAGCCGGGGATTACCATGCTCACCCAAGTCCTGTTGATGAGCAGGGCTGCTGGAACGGTGGCTAACTGTCTGTGGGGAGCTTCTACTTCATTCAGGCCCTTCTCCCAGGGGGCATTTCTTTGGCCTATTCCTAGCCTAGGTAGGTGGTGTAGATGCAGAAGAGCCCTGTCATCCCCTTGCTCTGGGCTGCATCACCTTCTTTCTATAAGCCCCCAGAAATTCACATCTCACCCACTAATTGAGATTAAGCGAGCAAATCTGCCCGTGGTTATAATTTTCCTAATTAAACCCATCTCTTCTTCATGGGACAGTATAAAACAGTTTAAAACAGACCATTTCCTCAGTAAGTAATTACTAATAACTAACACGATGTATTGCTTACTTTGTGCCAAACTGCTATTCTAAGCAATCTGTGTTTGTTAGTTCATGGAGTCCTCCTGGCCATCTTAGAAGGCAGGTATACTATTTTAGCCCCAGTTTGTAGGTGAATTAACCAGACAGACACAGAGTGGTTAAGTAACTCGCCCAGGTCTGGTGGAACCAGAAATTAACCCATCTAAAGAGGGCTCCAAAGTCTGGCCCTTTACCTACTGTACTTCTCATTAGCAAGTGTAGGCTAGTTTCAGGGTGCTTAATTTTGGATTCTGATGGGCTTTTCAGGTGATTGAATTTGATCATTTATGAGATAGGAAGGTCATTTCTGAATCTTCGGAGGAGAGCTGCCAAGGAAAAAGATGTGATTTACACAGGGCATTTGGCAGACCCCAGTGCTCTGGGACTTTCTCTTCTTGCCCTCTGAATCCAATGCTGTGAGCTCGGATGCCAAGCCCTCTTGCGACCATTTCCTTTTTCTTGGAATAGATGTTCTCAGATATCTTCATCTTCCTTCAAATCTTCTTTTCCTCTTTCCTTTTTCTTGAACAAGATCAGCCTGTGTTCATTCTTAGGGTGCAGGATATATGCCCCATGAGTCAGGACTTGATTGGTGGGAAGAGATGCCAGTTCTTGCTGCCTCCCTGGAAGGCTTGGATGTCTTCTGGTTTGGGGGAAAGTAACAAATTACCTACTTCAGCATCTGGGCCGTTTATATCAAAATCAAAGAAGCTGGGCCACATTGGTATGTACTTTTGGCTTGCTTCTCCCGCTAGGTGTGGCCCAAACCCCTGCTTTAGCCAGACCCTGTTCCAGTTAATGTTTGAGGCTCTAGGTGAAATGAGGAATGAGATACAGATTCTAGTATCTAATATGTAACTCTGGCTTGTTTTTACTCTGAGCTCCGTCTTGGGATTATATTCTATCCAGAAGCCCCGAGAAACTTCTTTCCCTCTTTTGTTTTGATATATTAAAGTTCTTGAATTATATTCCACATTATTGATCTTGGCAAGTGTGGGTTTTGAAATTGAGAGAGAAGTAAATGGTGCTTTGTTGTTACTGTACATTTGTTTGAATTCTATCCAACGTCTCCAAGGAAGGAATCCTATCAAGTCAGTCTTCTGACATAAAATCAGTTTGTGCTTTGCCTTTTTAAAAAATTGATTGATTCATTCAATCCGTTTGGTGTGCGCTGTGTCTGTTTATTCTGATCCAGTATCATTGTCCAGTCGTAAGTTTTTCTTGAACAGACTTTTCTAGTAGTTCCACTTACAGACTGTCTTCCTCTTCATTCAAGACTGAAAAGGACAGGGGCGCCTGGGTGGCGCAGTCGGTTAAGGGTCCGACTTCAGCCAGGTCACGATCTCGCGGTCCGTGAGTTCGAGCCCCGCGTCGGGCTCTGGGCTGATGGCTCAGAGCCTGGAGCCTGTTTCCGATTCTGTGTCTCCCTCTCTCTCTGCCCCTCCCCCGTTCATGCTCTGTCTCTCTCTGTCCCAAAAATAAATAAACGTTGAAAAAAAATTAAAAAAAAAAAAAGACTGAAAAGGACAAAGGAGGTTTTAGGTTTTTGTCACTGAATTCTAATGGGATTAAAAATAGTGTTCTACTGTTTTTGAACCCTCTCCATTTTTTTTTTTCTTGGTTCTGTGGTTCTTTAGAAGAGACACTTTACAGGTGTTTAGTATATTTGGTTAACTTTTCATAGAGCATGGTATCCCCTCCCTGCCGTGTTCAGAGAATTGGAATGATGAAATTCCTGTGGAGTCTTGAAGCATCTTGCCTTTGTTACGGAGTAATGCTTCTCTAGTCATTAAGCTTATAAGAGTTTTCTGGTATTGAATGAAAAGGAATTGTAGGTATTTCAGGAATTCTTGATTAGCTATTTTTATAATCAGACTGATGAAGAGAAACCAGTTCTCATCTTGGGGGGGGGTTGTATAAACTACAAGTTTCAGATTTTAAAATGATGCAGACATCTGACAGCCTGATTTTATAAAATGCTTTTACACTGAGGGGGGAATTTGCTAAAAAACATAAAATAAGTTTCATTTGATGAATATTTGGGAGAAAAATGTGTTTTGTGAGGCATCCTTTGAAAATAGACTCAAGCCCTATAAACCGGGATGAATTTCAGAAAATATCACAGGCATTTGATTTTGATATAAGTAATCTATAAGTATATGTATCCATATAGGTTGTATAGGAGAATGCATTTTTATAAAATTGCATACGGTTTGGTTATTTTGATTTTTAAAATTTTAAAATTTTTAAAATTTAAAAAAATTAAAAAATGTTTTTAAATTGAAGAGACCTCCAGCAATTGTAACTATAAATGACTGGAAGGTATATGTTTTAATATATAAGTTGCCTAGTTCTTGCTTTTGTTTTTGTTTTTTGTTTGTGTTTTGAGTCATTACTCTTGCCAAGTTTGATTGCTTTAGTAACTTCCTTTTCAGAAGAGATAAGGGTAGTAGGAAGTTGTAGAGATAAGCTACACTTATACCAACATCAGTTTTAAAGCACCTTCCTCTTTTTTTTTTCCCTTGGTATTTTTTTGGAGGCAAGAACTGCACACACCAATAACAGAGTAGGTAATACAGCCGTTTGTCCATCATAAAGAGTCACAAATCTATTCTTCTCTTTATGCTTTATTGCTCTACTTTAGAATATTGCCTTCAGACCATGAGAGCTACTTGTATTTTCAACTTATTTGCGTTTAATTTTATATAAAGATTCATAATCTGTCTGGTTTGGCTCCAAGCTCTCTATATAATGAGGTAATTGATTGATTACCCACAATTCTGGATTTTTACCCAGGATATTTTTCCTAAGGAGCTTTACGTGGTGATTATTTAAGATACAAGATTCTGGTGTATTGAAATATAATATATAGGAGTATCTGAGCAGCCTGCCCTCCATTTGTAAAGGGTCATCATGCAGATTAAAATCCAAACTTTATTAAAGTCTCGAGTTCTGTGAATATCATTCCCTTCATTGAATCACAAATATGAGAGCATTACTCTTAAAATGATATCATCTTTGGGCACATGTTTCCTAATTAAAAGGAAAAAAGTAGACTTTGTGCAGATCGTGGTTTATGTTCCAGCCCTTAATTAAAAATAATCTTTAATCTTACAATGCTGTTAATTTTCCAGATACTTTACAAAGCAGTTTCACATACTTTTACCTAGTTCATTCCTCACAGGGGTGCTCGGATATGGGTGTTCGTGTCTTCAGCTGACAGTCTGAATGGGACAGAGGCCAGATTGAATGCCACCAGCCTGTTTTTGAACTGAAACTTGGGCCTTGGGTTGATTTGGAATCCAGTCCATTTTCTAATGTGCCCTGCAAAGCTCTGTGGTTTTGATTTTCCTCTTTTTAATGCTAAGATAAAGACATATCCTCAAGGCACTACTGGTCCCTGTCTCCCCACCCCATGTGTACCCTGCCCTCGCGCCATTCAGTAGCCAGCCGCAGCCTGACAGCTTTCCTGAGCTTCTCCTGCAGATTCCACTTCCTCCAGTGGGGCGGGGGAAGGGGGCAAAGGGTGGTTTGCATAAGTGGCTGTCTACCTGTAGCTCTCTTCTCTCTCCTTGCTCGTCCTTCTCCCTTTCCTTCCTCCCCCACTGAAGGCTGGTTGTCCTTCAGGCCTCTGCAAATGTTTTTTTGACCAACCCTCCAGCCCCCCACCCCCACTCTGCATGGTCTTAACTCCGCTCCTCTCTCCATGAAAGCAGTTACCTCTGTGGGCTATTTTTCTGGCATTTGGTTGCCTCCCCGATTAGAGCAAGCTTGAGAAGCATGGGGACTTTGTCCAGTTTTGCACCCTGTGTTGTAAATGGAATTCATTCCAACGTGACTACAGAAATTCTACTCGGAGACACAGATGCAATTAAAGGAGTTGTTACACTCGCAGGTCCTAGAAAGGGGTGGCAAGACGTGCCATGCAAAGGGCCATGTGAGTGCCCAGGAAGCAAGCTCAGCCAAGCAGGTGGGGAGCTGGAGAGAATGAGGTCCCCTGGGCAAGCGCCTTCATTGGACTCAGGATGGAGCGTACAAGCAAAGGCTTGAGGAGATTTCACTGGTGCATTTGGATGTCACTGGGTCAGAGTGGAATGCAAGAAGGAGAACTTGTGGCAGGGACCAGCCTCATCACACTCTTCACTGGACGCCTGAGCCAGGATACCGACATCCTATTTGTAGGGATGCAGAAGCATGGGGAAAACAAAACTCTAGTTTTAAAAATCTACAGTGCACTCCTATTCTGTTCTCAACCCTGGCATGGTGCTTGGCACATTAAGAGGGCTCACGTGTCTGGATGAATGGACCGATGAATGAATGATAGAGACTTTGTCTCCTTTCTTAAGCCATTAGAATAATGGGGAGCCTGTGAGCTTCCGTTAATGTCCATTAAGAGGAACTGGTAGAACACTCAGATTTGACCAAAGTAGAACTCCTTTATTTTGCTTAGTCCTAATACCAATCACTTAACCGATATTTATTGAGTGGGGGACAGGGCGTGAAGTGCTGTGGCTCTTGGTTCTCCATCTTAGCATTGCTTCATGTTTACAGAGCAACGAGGATGATTTAATTAGTTACTGGAAGCCCCCAGGTAAAAGCACACAGATAACAAATATTAGTATTTATTTAGGGCAGCTGCATAAACATTGAAACGTGAATGTGTGTCACTGGTGGAGTTTAATAAAGTGGGCTAGAGTTAAAGTTGTTCTCTTTGGTGTATAATGCTTTCCGGTCTTAGAAATTTTCAAGAATGAGGCCACTTCTCAGTTACTCTGGACAAAACTTACTCTTCAGATTTAATAGCATTTTCTGCACCAGTCACCTTTCTTTGTTCATCTTTCAAACTCCCTTTATTGACCTACAAGTTGAGGCATCCGTACAAATCCGCATGCTTCTTTGCTGCAAAGAAAGGTTTGAGATAGTATAAATTTTCTCTTGGTCTAAGAATAGTATATTTCCAGGTTGAGCTACAATAAATCGTCAAACCTAGTAAAAGCTAGACCTCTCAACTTCCTCCTGGGCTTGCTTGTTAAAATATAGTTTGTTTGGAGTGAATTCTCAGACTGTCATACACATATATTCAAATGTGATTAGGTGACATGCGTGGACATCCTACTTGAACTAGAAAGCTTATGATGTGGGTTATTTTTGTAATGTTATTTCCGATTTCTCGCCATTACGTTCTCTTCTTTGGAGCTGATTTGAGAAGTTAACTATATATAAACCAGCTGTGGTAAGACATTTTATTATGTTTAAAAGAAAAATGCTCCTTCCTGTTTGGTTATGCAATCCCCCCCACCCCCGTGCACACACACTTTTAAGCAATTTTAGGATTATTTTAGTATCAGTTTTGCCATGTGTCTGGTCAGTTGGTGTCTTCATAGAAGAACGGTGCTGTTTCTTCCAGCATGGTATTTTTATCTGTTTGATACTTGCCCCAAACCCAAGAACATGATACCTGTGTTGTGTAGTAGGAAGGTCCTGAAATGCCAGGCTGGATTTTTTTTTTTTTTTTTTTTAAAGAAGATACATAAGTACAGGAAGAATACAAGTACATTAAACTGATCCTGAGGATAGATGTCAGGGCATGTCTAAACTTTTTCTACACTCAGTGTACTTTGTAAATAAAGCCCGTAATTGGTATGCATGAGTAGTTAGAGCAGTTCTAATTGCATGAAACCCGTCTGAGAGAAGGGACCATTCTGTTTTTGGCGGTTGAAGAGATTATAAGTGTAGGGTAGAGCTGTGTGTCATTTAGAAATGGTTTGCTAGGGTTCAGACATGCTGCTTTTCTGGTGGGTGGAGATGGGTTGAGAGGAAAACAACTAGATTGGCCCTGGTTCTTGGGAAGGGAGAAGGGAATCTGCAATTCCAGCTCAAGAGTTGGGTAAGTAGGAACAATGCTTAGGCTAAAGAGATGGCTGATGGTCTCGTGGCAGACAACTGACGGGCCTCCAGTGGGTAGGTATTGTTGCCTCTGTGAATGCTTGTGTTGGCCGTGGTCTTCACCTACACCCTTGACGTGTGTGGAAGAGTTCTTTTCAAAGTAAACATGACAAAGGATTTTTGGATTTTATCTCCTGAGATGGGCTTAGGGTTTGTTGACGAACGTTCCTGACACTTAGTGGGTGCTCTGAAATATTTAGTGACTGAATGACTGAATGTAATTTTTCAATGGGATAAGTCCATGTAAACCAAATACCCATTTTTGAAGCATTTCCACAAATCTAATGAAACTTCTTACTGTGTGAATAACTAAGTGATATAAATTAGTCAAGCACTTCAGTGGAAAACTCGGAAATCAGTGCATTCATTATCTTCAAAGTCCCATATTAAGGCAACATCCAGAGTATTTTATGAATTGCTAGTGGAGGAACTGATTTATTTTTTAGACTGTTTCTCCATGACTTCTTGGAACTGCGGAGTTAAATCTCCTCATGGTAGTCTAACGGCTAAAGTTATCTACTTCATGCTCAGTCTGGGGGTAACTGCTGCTATGTGGGGTCTCCCCAAGGAATAACTGTGGAAACAAGGTTGCATCATTTGACACAAGAGCCAGTGGGGACCAGGTGGGATATGATGACAGGAGAGGGGAGTCGAGGCTGAATGGCCAAGGAGGAGGGGAAATCTGAGGTGGGGCTTAAGGGATCTAGGATTTTGACAGCTAGACGGGAGAAAGGAAGGGACTGCTGGAGAATCTCTGTTCACTTGGAGATGCAGTTGAGTGTGGACAGTGAGCGTGGGTGACCACCTTGTGGAGTTGTTGGTAGAAGGTGGGAAATGAGGTGGAGTATGGGGCCAGGGAGGGGGTTTGGGATTTAATAAGATAAGTAATAAGAGGCTATTGAAGATCTCTGAAGAGAGAAGTGGAGAATGAAACCATGGTTCATACTTCTCTAAGTTAGAGTGCAAATAAGCAGTGCAATCATCCCTGTTTTATAGGAAGGCAGATTGATGAAACTCGAGAGTTCTTCAGCTGAATTCTCACCACGTTGGCTCTAGTCCAGGATTACTAAGCCAACTTTTCTCTTCCAGTTAATTACCAAACTTTCCAGTGTGAAATGAATCAAATACTTGGGGAAACAAAGCACCTGGACTTATATGAAGCCTTTATAGCTTCACATAGGACCAGATGCGAGTTTTTTTGAGTTGGTATTAATTTTGATCTTAAAGATGACAAAGTATCATTCATTCCCCCCGCTCAATTTTCAGTTGGTTTAACAGCCTCTTTGAGATATAATTCACATACCATACAATCTCGCCATTCAAAAAGTATACAACTCAGTGGTTTTTAATATATTCAGAGCTATGCAGCCATCACCACAATCTAATTCTAGAATTTTCCATCAAAGTTCCCTTCCCCACCCCTCCCAAATCCCTGTATCCATTAGCAGTCGCTGCCCCCCACACCACACCCTGCAGTTTTCACCTCCTTTCCCCCCACCCCTCTAGCTCTGGGCAACCACTAATAAAATTTGTTTCTGTAGTCCACTTGATTTTTTTTTTTTTTTTTAACCAGTATACCAAATGTTACCACAGACTTTGGCATCAGGCAACCTAGGTTCAAACCCCAGTTTACTAGTTCTGTGACCTTGAGAAAATTTCTTAACTTTGTGAAGTCTGCTTGCATCTCTTTAAAATGTGGATAATATCTACTTCCCAATTGGTGAAGACTAAAGGATATTTATGTGGGTGTGTTTTGTGAAGTGCTACAGGAGTTAATTGCTCCACAGTTAATTGTTCCACTGAATTATTAAAGGGTATCAAATATTAATCCTTTAAAATAGTTGGTGGGACATAATAGGATGCATAACAAATGTTTGGATGTGACGGGGTAGATTTTTTGTTGTTCCTGTGACTTCAGGGTTTGACTTTCAGCATGGAAGACATATTTGTGTTTCCAGGTATAACCCAGGATGGTAGTACTTAAACTATTTTTGGATCACAAGCCCCTTGGAGAATCTGATGAAAGCTATGCACGCACACTTGATTTTATTTTTAAAAAATCAGGAGGTTCGTGGATCCCTTAAAACCATCCCTACACTCCCTACCTACCAGGTTAAGGGCCCTTGGTCTTTTAAAAGAGAGATAAAATGATGCTTCAGAGCTGGAGCGAGCAGTCCGGCACATTGACAGGAAAACACAGCCATCAGCCAGAAGTATGTTTACTGTCCAGTTCGTAACATCCATGTAAAAGTGTACATGTGTTTGGCCAAGCAAGGTGGATACTGATCTAGGCACAGAAATGCACCTACATCTCACATTGAGAAGTAATCTCTGGAAGAGCTGGCAAGAGGAAGAACAAGCAACCAGAGTATCTTTCATATTGCAAGTAATGCCCCTCCAGCCTGCACATTTTAGAACCCTTGTATAAACTAGCATCGCATTCCGAAAGGACCAGTGGGAAGTGGGAATTCACAACAGCCTCACTTACAAGGTGAGTGGGATGGCCTTGATTGAGTTGATTCTCCAGATAGCTGTTACTCACAGGCCACTCGATAACACTGCTGTTTATCTCATACCTGTTAAATGGCCCGATGGTGCAGCATCCCGCAATGGATTCTTTTTTTAAGTTTTTTTTTTTTTTAACATGTATTCATTTTTGAGAGGCAGAGAGACCGAGCACAAGCAGGGGAAGGGCAGAGAGAGGGGGAGACCTTGAATCTGAAGCAGGCTTCATGCTCTGAGCTGTCAGCACAGAGCCTGATGTGGGGCTCAAACTGACCAACTGTGAGATCATGACCTGAGCCAAAGTCAGATGCTCAACTGACTGAGCCACCCAGGCGCCCCTTCTCAATAGATTTAATAGAGAAGTTCTTACCGTGTCTACAAAGCAGATTTCTTCCTTACCAGTTCTGGTTTCCTGCTTACTTTCCTTAATTTGAAATGCACTGTTATGGGAAGTTGTTTGGGCACCCGTGGTAAAAGGATCAAACTAAGAACAGATCTCAGAGGTTTGGGACAGGGAGAAAAGGTGGGGTGAAAGCCAAACGAAGAGTGGCCAGGTGGCCCCTGTCAAATAAGAAGGAAGATCCCACATGCTGCACAGCCTTGAGAGAACAGTCCTTTATCAGATCTGTCTTCTGCAAATATTTTCTTTCAGTATGTGGTTTGTTTTCTTATTTTCCTGGCAGTGTCTTTTGCAGAGCAGAAGTTTTTAATTTTAATGAAGTCTATCTTATCAGTTATTCCTAAGCAGTGGATCCTGCTTTTAGTGTTGTATCTAAAAAGTCATCGTCATAGACCATATGAGTTCACTTGTGTGGAATCTAAAAAAAACAAAACAAATGAATAAACAAAAAACAGAATCAGACTTATAAGTACAGAGAACAAACTGATGGTTGTCAGAAGGAAGGGGGACGGAGGGTTGGGCAAAATGGGTGAAGGGGAGAGGCTGAAGCTTTCGGTTGTGGAATGACTGAGTCACAGGAATAAAGCACAGCATAGGGACTACCGTCCGTGATATTGTAATGGCATTGCATGGTGACAGACAGTAGCTACACTTGAGGTGAGCATGGCATAACATTATAGATGTGTCAAATCACTATGTTGTATACCTAAAACTGATATAAATTGTGTGTCTACTATGCTTAAATAACATTAAAAATTAGATGTCATTGTCATACCCAAGGTCATTTAGATATTGTCCAATGTTATTTTCTAGGAGTTTTATAGTTTTGTGTTTTACATTTAGGTCTGTGATCCATTAAAAAAAAAAAAAAAGTTTACTTATTTATTGAGAGAAAGAGAGAACGAGCACAGAGCCTGATGTGGAACTTGATCTCATGACTTTGAGATCATGACCTGAGCCAAAATCAAGAGTTGGAAGCTTAACCGACTGAGGCACGTAGGCACCCTGATCCATTTTTTTTTTTAATGTTTGTTTATTTTTGAGAGTGAGAGATAGGGTGTGAGCAGGGAAGGGACAGAGAGAGGGAGACAGAGAATCCCAAGCAGGCTCCACACTGTCAGCTAAGAGCCCGACTTGGGGGGCTTGAACTCATGAACTCTGAGATCATAACCTGAACTGAAATCCAGAGTCAGGCATTTAACTGACTGAGCCACTCAGGTGCCCCTAGGTCTTTGATCCATTTTGAGTTAATTTTTATAAAGGGTGTAAAGTCTATCTGGCCTTGTTTTGTTGGTGTTTTGTTTTGTTTTGGGAGTTTTTGTTTTTTTTTGCAAGTGGGTGTCCAGCTGTTCCAGCACCATTTGTCAAAAAGACTACTTTTTTCTCCATTATATTGCCTTTAGTCCTTTCTCAAAGATTGGTTGACTGTGTTTATGTGGGTTCATGCCTGGGCCGCAGCCTTTTCGTGATGTAAGGATTACCAACCGGACAGAGGTGGCATCTCCAATGGGGCTGCTGCCTTGCTTGCCCTTGGCAGGATTTCTGAAGGTGATGGTCTGCCTGGGGAGCCTGGATGGTAGGGGGCTGGCATGGAGGGCACTCCCGGTGGGTGTCAGTAGCTCTGCAAGTTTGAGAAAAGGAGTCCTTGTTTTCAGAGTGAAAGGGAGAGGGTCTGCATTACTGGAATAACGGTGAATCCAGTCCTCACCTCCTCCTCTTCTGCAGGCTCCTCGGCCCTAACATACTCATTCTAACTGATAAGATAATTAGAGCAAAATTTTGTGTAACCACTGGAACCAGGGATTCCATTGAAACAAATATAATTGGTAATCCTCACCTTCAATTCTTCCTTCTAGTGAAACCTACAATAAAATTAGGGATGTTTTCAAGCAGAGCTTTTGTGCTTAAATTATCCCATTTCTCTTTCCTTAGCTGTAGGCTAACCTAAATTCCCTCTTTCCCAGTGGGGGACTTGGATAGTTCTCCTGTAGAGGCCAAGGTTAATTTAGTGATGTGTTAGTGACTGGGAGAGGGGACATGTTCACAGTAGAGTTCCATTCCTTTCTTTCTTTATATTTCTCCCCGGTAATAATACTTAACTTTGTGGCTTCAGACCATCGTTTTCACACCTGTCACCCCAATTTGTTTTTCTGGCTCTGTGTTCTTTTCTCTCGCACCATTCCAGCCACCTGATGGACATTTTCCCTTGGACACCCTGTGGGTACCTCAAATACCAAATGCAAAAATCTGCCCGTCTTCTCCCAAACTTAATTTCCATTGCTGTGTCTGTAAATGGTATCAGCAAGAGGTCTCTGTTGCCAAGTCGTATTGGAGTTTCCACTGCTGACATTATATAAATCTCTCCCTTGGCCATATTCTGTTGCCTTGCTCTAGATTAGCCTTCTTGACAGTCTTCCATCTGGCCTGCCAAACCCAACCTTCTAGGGTCTCTTTCTTGCTCCCCAAATTTTCAAGCCCTCAAAATTTCCAGTTAAAGTTTGGGCTTCCCAGGCTGGCATTCAGTCTCCTGGCTTTCAGCAACCTTCATCTTTTCTAGTGCCCCCCGCCCTCCGCCCTCATGCTCTTGGCTTCCTAACTAAGCCAAGTTCTCTTCGTGTTCTCTTAGTCCTTCCATTTCCTGTAAATATCTTCTGTGTTTTCACTCTTATATCTTTGTTTTCAGACTTCTAAGCTAGTGGTCCTCAAACTTTAGTGTGCATTGGGCCCACATGGAAGGCTTACGACCACATAGATGGCTGGGCCCCATCCCCAGATTTTGATTCAGCAGGTCTAGGGTGGGGTCTGAGAATTAAGTCCTAATAGGTGTCTGTGTGGTGCTGATGTTGGTGGTCCGGTAACCCTACCTTGCATCTTGAGAACCGCTGTTCTAAGCAGTTTTGAAAAGCTGGATGTAGAAGTACTATAGTTCATACTTAATACATTTAGGCTAGGGGATAAATTTAATTCCTAAGGAGGCCATTAGTTATTCAGATCTGTGCATTGGAGTTTATGTACAAAAGTGCTAAAATTATGTTTTTGAGCTCAAAAAAATGTATATACTTTAAGCTCTTAATCTGTGCCAGCTGACAGGCCCTTTGCCTGTAAAAGCATTGTTAAATTAAGGGTTATACTTGTGTTTCGTCTCTACATATTGGATGAGGATACTTGCCATATTTATCCGTGAGCCACCGATGACCACACTCTGTCATTACAGACCAATGGGCCGTACAGCCAGTCAACTGCCAATTACGAAACTACAGGCCTGTGTTTCAAAAGCGGTTTAGCCAACCTGTGCCAGCATCTTGGTGGTTCCTTCTGTGACCAGCCTAGGCATAGTCTTGTAGCATGTTGTAGCTTGATGACTTGGTAATTATGACCTTTTTTTTTTTTTTTAAAGACTCCGGTGTCCCCAGTTGTCCTGGTGAGAAGGCTTACGTTATAGTTTTATTGTTAAATGTAGGCATCATTTCCCTGTCTCATTCAAAATGGAAATGTAAGCCACCTGTACCCCCCTGTGGGGCCAAGAGACGAGGGCCAGGAGGGCACTGTGGCCATAGGTCCGTGGCTCCTGCCTAGGCCTATGGGCTATTAGAGGCACTTTTGTGTTTTTAACTTTGCAAGGGCATGTTCAAGCATGAATGTGATTTGAGTAGGGCATTTGGGACTCCTTAGAAGGTAATCAGTACCTCCTAGAAGAGCTTTCACTTCTGTGCTCATTCAGGTTGCATTCTCCTGGCCTCAACTACAGCCCCTTGCACACAGAACCGCGTGTGTTGGTTGCCTATGGCCTAGCCTCAGAGAGAGAGGGAAAGGACCTGTAACTTAACAGGGCTTCTTTCGTGAAGGATTCTGAAGTGAAAGCTGGAAGAGTGCTTTCTGATTGGTGAACGTACCTAAGGTATTTCCCTTATATATCTGGACTTTTGATATCTAAGTGAAATAAAACTTCCCAAGGGAATACCTTGAGATTCGTCATTTTTTTTCCCCCTGTGGTTCATCTTACAAGTTTTACTATTGCTGGCAGTTAAGTGATGAAATTAGCCCTTCCAGCACTTTGGGAAGAGTACCTCACCCCTCGTTTTTGGAGTTGAATTTTGTGGTCCTTTGGAACACTGACTTACTTGTCTGTTGCCATATCTGAATTCATTCTCTGTACCTTCTTCACTCTGCATCATACACTTTGATAAGTTAACAATAAGATATCCTTTTCTGCCCAGGCGTATTTATTTATTCTTTTAAAGTCATGCATTGAGGAAAGGAATTTTTAGGAAAATTGTAATGCATTAAGCATGTGCATTAAAGTTATGAGATGTATCAGGTATTTTAGTTATAGTTCATTATGAACAGATACCATATGAGCAAATTATATGAATATTATGCATGAATACACTAAGCCCTCTTTTCTGAAGTTTGTTTTAGAAAGGAGATGCCCATTTAATATTGGTCTGGTTAAGTGAGTCGATATTTGCCATTTGTGAATTTTCAATTTTTAAAAAATGTTTTCATTTTTTTCTAGAGATGAAAGTTTTATTAGCGATGTTCCAATCCAATCTCTTGTTTTATAGGTGAGAGCAGTGAGGTCCTGATAAATCATACCGACCCCCAAAGCCACCTTGAATCTGACTTAGGTTTTGATTTAGAGGAGATCTTGGGGTCTTGTGGGATTATCGAATCTTCATTGTTTTTCTGTGCTGAAGAAGTGAATTTATGTTAAGTCTTAGTTTAGTAAGTTTTGGATAGATATACATATGTAAGAATATAACATATATAAATCTCAACAAGTGTATGCATATGTGGTCTTGTCTATGAGGATAGAGACAAAGTGGGAAATAGGGTGGCGAGGGTAGAGAATTGAACATCTGTGACCCCGGCAGCAGCCTCTTCTGTGACTACAGTGTTGAGTGGTGCCTCGTGGCTGTGTCTCAATTTTCCCTGACCCCAGTAATACCTACATCACACATAGATTGGGAAATACTGCATTTTCTTTAACAAGGGCTAGAAATAACTGATTGGAAAGGCCACACGGCCAACTGCTATGAAGAAATTGTAGACATTTGAAATGTAATGGTGTTTCCCCTGCAGGTGGGAAGGAGGGGCCTAGGGATGGATAATTGAGGAATCGATGAGTTGGAAGTTTTGGAGTTGAAATTCTGCAACTGGTTGAAATGCCTGAGTTGCTACCCCACAAGAGAGTCATACTGTTAGTGAAAAATGCAGTGGGCATCCCAACCACAAGAACTGAGCCCCAGTCTTCTTTTCTGCCCCTTATGCCACTTAGTAGTTGTGTCATCTTGAGTAGGACCCTCGACTCCCATCCTTTTTGACATTGATGATGTTGACTACCTGGTCTACCTTACCTGGGTGCAGTGAGCACCCACTTTCCCCGGATGACATAAACGTGTGTCACAGACATAAAGCAGCAAAAGGAGATGTCTGGTGTTTTATCATGATTATCATGGTTATATTATTTTGACTGTTATATTGACTAATTTTTATTGTGGGTTTCTTAGATTCTTCTCTTAAAAATATATGGAATTTTACTTTAAAAACACATTTCATGTAAGAACATTGGAGTTGACTTTGGTAAATGAACTTAAACACTTAAACTCTCTCATGGCCTTTAAATATTTCCTGACTATTTAAGGGAGTTTAATTTGTCCTAATGCTGTAGAGTTAGGAAACTGTTAATGGTATTGTAGCTCCAGAAGCAAAGGCTGCAGCTAATTTGTTAGAATGGT